AGGGGGCCACCACAGTGAAGGCCCTTTTTCTGGGTCCCATCAGGTATATCTCCCTCAGGGATGGGACCAATATGCTTGAGCATTTGGCATTTTAGGAATCCTGAACTATTAGAACACAATCAGAAAATAAAAGAAATGACAGTTGGATCTTATCACTTTACCAGCCAGGAGAAGTTCAACAGCTGCCAATTCTCCAATATCAAAAAGATCACTCAGTATAAAGGCCTCTTTGATGAGCTGTTCTGGTAACAATCGGGTGCCCTGTTGGCCTTGGATAGCAACTCCCTCAGTATTTGCTTTCTGAACTTTTTCATGCTGTTGGGCGTTCTTCGGCTACAAAATATTTTTTTAAAAAAATGTCTAATTATTCTCAAAAATACATTGAAAAAATTATACTAAAATACAGCTACAAAATATTGTACTAGGAGATACAAAACTAACCGTTTTATGGATAGAATGTTCTGGGAAATACTGAATTAGTCTACTTTTATTCTGGAATGCATCGGAATGTGGTTTGGTAATTTTTCCGGAACGGAAAATTTGATAAAAACATCGACCATTTCAGAATTTCCCATAATATTCTGCCCATGAATAAATTCTGCAAACATGTGCATAGAATATTTTAAATCACTGACCAAACTCCAATGTTTCACATTTCCTAACATCTTTAATACATTAAAACATAATCTATAACTGATTTAAATTGACTGATTGTACATTGTACTATATTGTAATAATGTGTACTTAATTTTGGATTGTTTTTTTATGTCTCTACTCACCATGCTCTGTGAAGTATGGATTATTGGTTAACATGGATACAAGATATCCTGACTATGTGTACCTAGCACGTATGCCTTATTTGATGGATAATATATAACTACATACTGTTTTGCAGGTATTATCTAGATTAGAGATCTCAGCTTTCATAAAATACACAAGTATATTTAAAATAAAACTTATCTTTGCTCACACTTAAACATACTAAAATGTGCCAAAAAACTGGCCAATATTTTTGTCATTAACAGGGAGTGTTAAATGTGGCATAGCTAAGATTAACTTTGGTAACTTAACCTTCTCACTAAAAAACAAGTCATGATGGGTAATGGATATCAATAACAGGCCCCATCTTCTAAATTAAAGCAGAATTTTGCTTTTCTACAGATCATTTAGCTATTTTCTTAGCAGAGAAATCATTATTTTAGTTATTGGGCTATTTTTCTGAAGTAATCTGTCATTCCCATTTAACTTGACTGTACTGAGTAATATTATATTCTTCTTTAAAAATACTATCAAAACCCCCTTCCCCTTATCTAATATCAGTTTGTGATGTAAATGTCTATTAAGAAATATTACTTTTACTGCAATATTATTAAAATGCTTCATTCAGACAACATTATATAAAGCTTTAATTCAAGTAAAATACAAAGCATTCTTTAAGGAACAAGAATAATATCAATACAATTCTTTTTTACACACCTAATGAAATTTTAAAAAAATTGTTTACCGGATTTCTGAAGAGTGATATAAAGTCCGCTTTGTGTTTCTTTAAAATCTGATCAAGAACATGTATTGCTTCAGATTGCCTTTTCCATATAGCATTAACCACTGCTTGCCAAATGTCTTTGTATGGCCCCCACAAACTGGCAGCTGAAAATAATACATATGTGTTGCAATTTTAAAAAAATACTAGTAAAGCATTGCTACATTATACAACATTTACAAAAAGCATTTAAATTATATTAATTATAAGTGATGGCAGTAGCAAGAGATCTGCTGCCCCACAGACAACAATAATTTATTTAGTCATAAATAGCCACACATTAAATGAGATTACAAGTAATTCTTGCTTAACAACTGTCCCTGTTTAATGACCATTTAAAGTTACAAAGATGCTGAAAAAGTAACTTTACAACCAGTTCTCACACTTCTGAACGTTTCAATGCTCCCATGGACATGTAATTAAGTTTGGATGATTTGCAACCGATGGGCATTTACAACCTCACAGAATCCCACAGTCACAAATGACATTAGTGCGTTCATAGCCAACTGCCAAAAGCAGAGTCAATGAGAAAGCCAGCAGTAAAATTATAATTTGTGTCAGATGTCGTTTAATGATTGTATCACTGAACAATGGAGTTGCCAGTCCCGATTGTGATTTTTAAGTGAGGATGATCCATACATTGTCTTTTCTTGCCATTAATAAACACAACAGAATAGTTCATGCTTCACAAACCAGTAACTGAAACATTAAAGGATGGTATATTCATATGAAATTCAGGTGTTTTCAGGTGACCATTTGTTCACCAACGTTCAAAGTTAGAAAAGAACTGAATCAGTGGCATCTATGATCAGCCCTTGAAGTTCCAGCTGTGATAGCTTCCTTGCAGTCAGGTGATCGTGATCTGGGTGAACTTAGCCGCTCGTTTCCAACAAGCAAAGTTAATGGGGAACCAAGCAGGTCATAAATGGTGATCATGTGAGCTCACAATAATGGTGCAGGATTTGCTTAATTACATTAACCTATCCCAATTATAGCAGTTAACTAAAGATCACCTGCATACAAATTCCATTGTTTATTGATAGCTCACATCCATCACACAATAATTCACACCAGAAGAACATTTCCAAAGTATCTGGGAATTGTCAGCTGATGTATTTGTATTTATTTATTAAATAAATTTATATGCTAGCCATCTCACTGTTACAGTGACTGGGGGCTTACAATATGATAAAACATAAAACAAAATGATTAAAATTACACCAAATAAGAAACTAAAACCCAAGAGAACAGGTGACATAGGGGTGAGGAATCTTCTCTTTACCCTGTCGGCCACCCTCAGCATTGAGCACCTCAGGGTCCCAGGCCAGCTGACAGAGCAAATTTTAAGCCTCTTTTGGAAGGCTAGGATTGTTCTAGATTGAGCAGGGATCATAGCAGCTCTGATCCTGGACCCTGTCAATTGAAATTCTTTGGCAGATAGGATCCTAAGTAGCGAATGAGATAGGCTGGTTCTACTGGGGTGAGACAACTCTTGAGATATCTTGGGCCCATGCAATAAAATGACTTAAAGATAAGGATCAACATTGTTCTGACCAAGGCTTCCCAAGACCGTAATTAAGCACACACTTAATTAAAACAACTTTGTTTTATTTCAACCCTGGGAATTATTTTCAGAAATAATTATTGTCCATTATTGTTGTAAGTCAAGGACTACCTGTATTGTGGCATGCAAAACAATCACTGTTCCACTGATAAATCAAAATAACTTAAGGACAATAATTCAGATTTCCTCAGGTCCTTTAAAGAACGTTTTAAGAATTCGAATTTTCATCATAGAAGAATCTATTTTTTTAAAAAAACCTCTAGATCCGCTCTCCGTTTTTACTCGTTTTTATGTTATTTTTAATGTAGTGTTATTAGCCGTGTAGAGTAGCTTTCCCCACTTTGTCGGACGCGTTAGTCAAAAAATTGGACTGAGATAAATTTGATTTTTTTGATCGGGAGCCGCACAAAGTTGGTTGTAAGATCGGCGGCTCCTGCTGGATCCAAAGGATGGTTTTTTCGGTCCTGTAAACTTTTAGACCAAGACGACGTGCAAGGAAAGCAGCAACCCCATAAATCTTCCTGGAAGTAAATGTCCTTCTCACTTTTGAGCCGCTAAGTAAAACAATTGCGCGAAGCAAAAAGGGAGAGAAACTCATTCATACCAAAGGAAGGTCGCCTTAAAACGATTCATAGTTTTCCATAAATAAGGGGGAACCGGGTGGGATCGGGACCGTCTCCAAGAAAAGGGGAAAAAAAAGACGCCCGGAACCAAACCACCGCTTCTCCTCTCGCTCTCCAGCTCAACCCTGAGCCTCCCTACCTGAAATTACCGCCAACGGCGCCGACATCTTGGACGCTCCCTCACACGAGCCCAGCGCTTCTCCTGCCTGAAGGCCCGGAACGCCAAGCAGGCAACCTCTGTGATTGCCGGGTAGCGCTATTGATCTCCCGACACACCACTCGGATGCTTTGGCATATCAGGAATAATCCCACCTCCTGCTTACTTCCACAGCACGGTTAGCAGATGGTGTCTTTGGCTCGTTAAATAAAAATCGACATATTTATTTAGCAGTAGAGCGATAGCCACATGTCCCACAATTAAAACAAATCAGGACCTAGAGGCAATGAATGCTGGGAATTGTAGTTCGGCCCAATACGATAGAAGCGCGGGAAATTGAGCACTGCAATGGAGTGGGGCAAATCTGATTCGTTGGCTGAAACGATACTGATTTCTTCGCAAATATATAATTTTGTTTAAAAATATGGGTAAGAGACGCGATTATATAAAAAAGATGTACATCAGAAATGAATAACAGATTGATTAGCAAGTTCTAACCTTTCTTTCCTTTAGAAAGCCAATGTAGCATGTTAAGTTTCTCCCTCGCACACGTTTTCACAATACCTCAATGAACTGGATTAAATAGAATTGCCCTGATGATTCTCACCAACGTTATTGAAACATCTCGTCACGGTTCCCGTGAGATTAGTTATTTTTTGGGCAGTGTTTCTGACAAGGCGTGGATTTTTATACATCAGTTTCCCTCTTCCTGTTTAACATACCAGAATTCATGGGTGTAAATAGAGCTGAACTCTGAACGCCTTTTCAAACAGTCAGGCTGATATCATCCAATGTAGAATCCAATGAACTTAAATCTGAACGTATTTCAAACAAAAGCAGCCTGACATCCAATTACACCGGGGAAAAAATATAACCACCACTTCATGAAGCAAGGCTTATAACCGTTAGAAATATTATATAGAAAGGGGGAATTCTTAATTCCCCAAACTACTGGAGTAGACCTGCTGGGGGAGGACTCTTCGGACTGCATATGGCTTTGCTTCCTATCTTTTCTTTCCGTTACACCAACTCTCTGGTGGCTCTTGTGCGTGTTCACTTTTGGAACAGCTTCCGGGGCATGCTGTTAACCCCGCCTCATTAAAAGATGCTGGCGTACAACTGACGGTTGATGGTTTGGAGGTAGTCTGTGGAACTACGCAGCTCTACTCCCATTGTGGTCGAAGAGAACCAGCGACCTAGAAGAAATTGTTGCCCCGGGGATCGGATCCGATGATGGGGGTAAATTCCAAGAGGAACGAGGGAGCCGAAGCCACTGGCCGTAGTTCTCTCTTCTCCTCCCTCTGCCTAAGCTCCTCGATCTTCTGATTGGAAGATTGCCCGCATGCGTGTTAACGTACGAGCAAGAACTTGAACTTAATGTCAATGGAGATTCTCCATTGTCCCAAAGGTGGGTTTTCAAAGGGCCAACTGGACTATCTTGTTTTTCTTTGAAGATGTTTCGCTTCTCATCCAAGAAGTTTCTTCAGCTCTCAAATAGAATAGACTAACATAGTTGAAAGGGATCTTGGCAGTCTTCTAGTCCAGGGGTCTTCAAACCTGACAGCCTTAAAACTTGTGAACTTCAACTCCCAGAATTCCTCCTCCAGTCATGTTAGCTTAGGAATTCTGGGAGTTGAAGTCCACAAGTCTTAAACTTGCCAAGTTTGAAAACCCTTGTTCTAGTCCAACCCTCCTGCTTAGGCAGGAAACCTTGTACCATTTCAGATGAATCTCTTATTTAAAAAAAGCTGATGAACTAAAGAAGCTTCTTGAATGAGAAGTGAAACATTTTCAAAGAAAAACAAGAAATTGCAGTTGCCTCTTGAAAAAGCATCTTTGGGACAACTTGAACATATGTTTCCCTGCTCTAACCATCCTGATTTTTTAATTCAGGACATTGCAAATGATCTAGAACAGCATTTCTCAATGTCCACAACTTTTGGCTTTACCATTTGAGAGCAAACTTATCTTCAGAAAATGTTTCTTTATAATCTCATAAGGTGCCTCAGTGCTTTAAAGGGGGATGATATGTGTGTCAGTTTAAATAGCCTTTTTATTGATGTTGGTACTGTTTCCCATATAAATAGGCTTTAATTGAATGAATGTTCATTTTTTTACTATCACAGTATATTATAAATGCTTTTTAAAAATGGTGTAAATTTTAGAAATCTATTTTTTCTCACTTGAAGAAAAAATTAGAACTAAAACTAAAAAATTAGAAAAATTGGAACTATTTTTCATAATTCTACTGCTCTGTTTTATGCTTCTTGATTTTTGCAAAGACTTATTTATTGGAAGTTTTGTCAGTTATTAAAAACAATTAGCTGGCAATGTTAATATTACAGAACTAATTTCTAAATGGGGTTGGGTTCTATATATGATTAGCAGAATATAACTACTCATTGAGGTAATTTCTTTCAAATGCTCTGCTGGATGGCGTTCCCTATTGTATTAAAATAAGCAGGAATCCAGTGATGGCAATTCTCTTGATGAAACAGCAACTAGTCTTCTGGAAATGCACCATTTTCCTTAATTATATTGGTCTAGTATTGATTTGAAAAAATGCCATTGTGACCAGTGTGAGAAAAAAATATAAACACTTTACTGATCCAACAAGGGATAAAAGTGCCATCAAAGCTCACAAATAGCAGGGCTGTAGTTGAGGTGATAAACATGCTCATCATTTTCCTAAGGGCCTTAATTTCTTTTCTTTTTTTTCCAATCTAGTGATAGTGCTTTTGCTGGCCACCATGTTTGTGTTAGTAGAAATGACGGATACAGTGCGAATACCTCCATGGCAGTTTGAAAGAAAGCTTAATGATGCAATCACTGAAGAGTTAAATAAAAAGTTGGCTAATAAGGTAATTATTAGAAGTTCAAACATTGATTCTAAATACCTCATCAAACAATTAATGCATATTTTTATGTCAGGATAATTCATATATTTGATGAAATACAGTAGACTAAAGTATATGGCAACTTATGCCATAATAGAATTGTGAATTTTGAAGAACCTGTGAAACGCAGTTGTAAATTACTGGAATAGGGATGAGCAAGCTTGTGGTATCCTTATTTTAAGTTACAATTTCCATAAGCTGCAAGCAACAGTGATCAGGATAACAGTTTGGACATTAGTGGACATTAAGAAGTATGTTCCTCAATTAGAAATATTTTGAAAAATGGCTTCCAAATTTTCATCAGTTTGTTTAATACATTTCTTGTACTGTTAATACATAGTAGTACTATAGAAATTATTTGCAGTTCAGCACAAAAGGGAATGAAGGAAAATAGGACTGGCTATTCATGTTTCTTTCTATTCATCTCCCGCTCCGGGGATTGTTTGTCATGGTTTTGTTTGTTTTTAATTCTTATACATGTCTTGGAATCACCTGGCTGAGATGTTTAAAAATAAAAATGACATAATCACTTTATTAGTTAGATTCAGTTATGTGGCTTTTCTTTTGAGCATAATGCTTACATGAACTTTCTAACAATTGCAATTTGTTGCTCTCTGGACCTCCCCCATTTCTTTCTCATTCTACTATATTCAGGTTGTATATAATGTTGGCCTCTGTATCTGTCTATATGACATTACAAAGCTGGAAGATTCCTACATATTTCCAGGAGATGGTGCATCACACACAAAAGGTTTGACAATGATATCTAAGTTTGACCTCTTCAGATTTGTGGAGAAACCACAAAACTCAATATTTAATTAAAAATATTTAACTCCATTTTATTCTTGGTACCATTTTTCCTTAATATAAAGTACAAGTATTTATGATTTATTCCATGAATTGTTGTTCCATTCTAGAGAATTAAGGATTTGTCATCCTATGATATATCCTAGTTAATATCCTAATTAAATTCAATATGTTATATAGTAATATTAAGCAATTCTTCATTATTAAGGCAGATATTGATGTTTGAGAAATCATGAACAAATTGACACATTCTGTAGACATTCAGCTTGCTAATGTAAGACATTCAGCTTTTACTATTCTAATACAAATATGCATTTAAAAAAAGGCATTTAATAGGTTCAATTTACAAAAGAAATATCTGCAATGTCATGTCTATGACAAATCTATCTTTCAGTGCAGTTTATTCATAATATAGTAAGAAAGATTGATTCATTTATTAGATCTATGTTTTAATTTAATCTTTTAATTTGGTTTTTGTTTTAATTAGTTTAATCTTTTAAAAGGAAAAGAGAAACTACATAGAAAATACAAAATGCATATATGACATGGAAAAGTTTGCAAAATAGTGTAACATCAATGGATCAATATCAGTGGATTAGAACAAATTTAAAGACAGTTTAATGACAGCTAAACACTAGTACTCTCAAGCCTGTTACATTTAACTGTTATTAAAATCAGTATTTAAATTAGTTAATTGCAGTATGCAATAAAAATAAACAATAGTTAAGATTGGGTTGTTCAGATTTCTGATGTTTGCTGCTTTTTAGTACATTTTAGATATGTTGTATTTCATCCATTTTTGGATGAAATTCTGGTCGGAGAGATAAAAGGCTGCAGTCTTGAAGGTGTACATGGTAAGTTATTTTTTTTTAATTATTTAAAATGACAATAGTTACTACTATTTTTTTTCAAACATGTGCCTCCATGTACCATAAAGTAATAAAAACTAGTGGAAAGTATTTATGTTGTGGTGTGTAACCAAGGTAACCAAGATTTATTGAATTTCTTGTTTGAAAACAAATCTGGAACTAATTGATTCCTGTGTAATTGATTAATTTCTTGTCTACTGTTTCAGCCATTTTATTTCTGTCATTTAAAATCGATCTAAAAATTTCCTCATAATAGTTTATGTTATGTAGAAACTTTGGGGATAGCAGAATCAAACTGACATCTTGGATCAGAGAGCAATTACCAACATATTTGCTGTATTATTTGATAGTGTTTTATTCGGTTTTGTGTAAAATTATACGGACATGTCTCTTTAATCCTGTCCTTTGAGAAGTGGCAAGCACCTGTAGTCACTGTAACCTTAAGTATAATATTGAGAATATTACATGTAAAATACATAATTAGTGGTATGTTTGATATATAATAATAATACTTTATTTGCGGTCAGGTATGTTTGATATATAGTTTTTATTTTGTAAATACACTTTAAAAATTAGAGCTGAGCAGTTTTAACTAGATTTAGGCAGTCCCTGACTTAAAGCAGTTTGTTTAGTGACTGTTTGAAGTTACAACACTGAAAAAAGTAACATGACCATATTTCACATGGCTGTTGCAGCATCCCCGTGCCATGTGATCAGAGTTAAGATGCTTAGCAACTGACACATATTTATGATGATTGCAGTGTCCCAGGGTCATGTGATCATCTTTTGCAAAATTCTGACAGTCAATGGAGAAGCCAAATTCACTTAACAACCAACCATCTTATTAACTTAATTGCAGTGATTCACTTAAGAATTGTGGCAAGAATGTTCATAAAAAACACAAAATTCACTTAACAAATGTCTTGCTTAGCCACAGAAATTTTGGGCTCAATTGTGGTTGTAAGATGAGGACTACCTGTATTAAAGTATTACTTTTGAATTTGTCCAGAGCTGATTAGTTTGAATGCTGCAATATTATTTTTAGAGGAGTGTTGTCTTTTTTCCCGTCACATATATTATTGGACAATCTAAGGCTTAATCAGGTGCTATTATGATGTATTTAAGTGGCTACTTCATTAATTGATCTTTCCACAGTTTCTCTTGGGTTCTTTGATGACATACTCATTCCTCCAGAATCTCTACAACAGCCTGCCAAATTGTATCCTTCAAGTAGCTTTATAAAACAGTACATTCAATAATAATAATAATAGGCAGTAAGAGGCAGAAGAGAAAGAACTGGGGGGTGGGGAGCCACAAAATCAATGCCCTCTAAATAGAAGTAGAATGACTGTGGAAAAAGAAAGCAAAGATAGTATCAAACATAATGGTATTTGGAGTATGATTGCAAAAAGTCACCATTAGTCAATTGTAAAAGGCAGCTTTTCCTGGTTTACATCCATCAAACAACACCTGCACTTTCCAGGCCTTCAGGAAGGACTTGATAGGTGGGTAAAAATGCCAAATCCAATCTGAACATATGGTTTAATGTGCGACCAACTAAATTAATAATGACAATTCTTTTCATATCAGGCTCATTTCTGTTTTAGTTTTTTTTAAGTCTGTTTACTTCGTTAGAAAATATTTTATTTCAAGCCTCAGCCTTAGCGAAATCAGCAAGAATTATCCTGGTAAAAACGCAGTCGAGATGAATTTAGGGAGACATGAACAAAATACTTACTTCACATTATATGTCTTAATGAAGTACCTTAGTATTATAAAACTTACAGATAGACTGTTTAAGCCATTGATTCTAATTATTAAATCTGGAATCCACAGGAAAACATGATTGCCTAGTCTTGTTTGAAAACATCCAGTGAATGTGAGTCCTCTATCTCCAATGCCGGGGTAGGGAAACTTGGCTCTTTTATCATTTATGGACTTCAACTCCCAGAATTCCTGAGTGAGCCATAAAAGGTTCCCCATCCCTGGCCTACTGGTTTTTCAGTTGCGGGGGAAATCAATTTTTGACTTGAATGGGATTGTTTAATATACAAATGTAGGACATATTCTTTATATGGGACTGATTAATATACAAATGTAGGACATATTATATGGGACTGTTTAATATACAAATGTAAGACATATTCTTTATATGTCCTACATTTGTATATTAAAAAGTCCCATTCAAGTCAAAAATTGATTTCCCCCACAACTAAAAATCAGTAGGCCAGGGATGGGGAACCTTTTATGGCTCACTCATTCTGGGAGTTGAAGTCCATAAGTGATAAAAGAGCCAAGTTTCCCTACCCCTGTCCTATGCTTATTCGTCCCATTAAAATGTCTTAACCCTCAACCAGAATCTGTCCTCCTGCAACTAAAACCAATACTCCATGCCCTACCCTATAGGATATTAGAGAACAGTTCTTTGCTTTTTTTGGTCACATTGCCTTAACCTTTTCATGTACCCAGCGATGAAACGGAACAGGTATGGGTTTGGGAATATGAGACTGAAGAAGGAGCTCATGACCTGTATATGGATATGGGAGAAGAAATACGTTTCCGTGTAGTAGATGAAAATTTCATTGATACATCTCCAACAGGCCCAAGCTCTGTAGAGCCTTCCACATCTAGTGGCACTGAGGAGACACAGAAGAAAGAAGCACCCTATACTATTGTGGTATGTACTTTTCTTTGAAACTTATTAAAATGAAGAGCTTTACTAATACCTAAATAGAGAAATAAAAGGGAAATGCTATGTCAAATCAAGTGTAATATCTAGTAAATAATCCATATAGTTTTGGTAGAAGCAATACACATTGCTTTCCTCTGGAATGTGCACAGACACTCATACAAACCTATTGTCTACAACTTGAGATTGCCTGGTGATCTTCCCTTCAAGTATAAACAGCTCTAATTCTATTTAATTAGTCATGAGGGGAGAAGAACTTCCAATTATAGTTGATTTTATAACAATGTGCAGAATGTTTCATTTTGACGTAGCTGGAGCATGAAACTTTTCCAGAACAACCTGTTTCCACTGTGAATCTACTGTTCCTATTCTGCAATCAAGTTGCAATTCTGCAATTGGGGAAAGGTGTTTTATGTTCAAAATGGCTAAACACAAAACATTTTGTACCCATGTAGTTTATGCTTGCTTGCTTAGAATGGAGGGAAAGAGAGTAGAATGTGAAGGTATAGCTTAAGTATGGAGCTGAACAATATATTTTTGTCAAATGTTTTGCATTCGTGGAATGTAAAGCAGGGCAGATTTTTGTTTATGATTGTATGAAATCTGTATGGTCTAGAACCTAAGTATTGGTAGATATTTATGTTACTTTTTGAACAGTTACAAAGGGATAGTCTGGGGAGCGAGTGTCAACTCAAAATATATTTAACACATATTAATTCAAATGTTAATTGTTACAATTTTTTATTAAGGGATCTATCAGTGAACCCGGTCTGGGTCTTCTATCCTGGTGGACGAACAGTTAATTGAAGGTAAAGATGGACAGTTTACACTGAAAAAGCCAGAAGATGCCTTGATCGACAGTTGCAGAATGGTAACTTTTTCCCCATTTCTGCTTTATATTAAATCAAGTCAGTCCGATCGAGATATAGAAATAAATGAGTGCGCTTAGTGGAATGTCATCAAAACAGAATAACTATGCATCATAACTCTAGAACATTACTGTAATAATCCTGATGCTTTTTTCCACCAATATAGGATATAAGCACCTGGGAATGGTATGTTAGCTGAAAAGAAAAAGAAAAGAAGATCCTCTAAATTAAAAAAAGATACAAAGACAATATTCTGAAGGATTGACCTCATGCTGCTACAGTTCATTATGAAAATAAATGTTAAAAATGACTAATACTGAAAAGGCACCACTTTTTTTTTCCAAAGGATAGAAGGGCTGCTTGTTTTTTAAATTCAGACAGGTTGCAGTAAAACTGTGGTATAGCTACTTGCCTCTTCTCCGTTTTGTAACAAATTATCATTTGGAAGGGCTGCAACCTTGGGTAAAATGAATAAGCTGCTTTTCTGCCAGAATTACAGTTAAAATAGAAGATAATACTGTATGTATAGCTCAGAGTTGAACTATAGACTCCTTGGTGTTCTCTGCGCTTTGTTATTAGTTTGCACACATTTCATTACCCAAACAGTAACATTGGTGAACATTATCAGATGATACCTAGTTGGGTAAAGTAACATTTGCAAGCAAACAACCAAACTCTAGAGAGTAGCAAGGACTCCATATTCCAGTCAGAAATTCTGTTTTATCCAGACAACAAAGAAAACTTATTTTTCTGAGAAAATATATGACCATTACTGTTTTTAGCATAAATACTGCAGAGAGACAGATAGCCTCCAGGGATGTTCCATTGAGAAGGGGCATTGGTCTTACCTTAGACACCCTTTCTCAGGGAGTCGACGGGAAAATCCAGATTGGGTAGTCTCTTGTCTCATTGCTCTACAGACTGAGTTGAATTCTGAGGACACGCTTCCCTGGTAATGGTTCCCAGTTGAAACGAAGCCAAAGCGAATCCTGTTGTCCTTCTCCAGCCCAAAAGTACCCCCTCTGGGGCTCTGGACCAGACAGTCCTCAGGGTGGGGCTGGATTCTCCTGTCAACTCCCAAGAAAGGGAGTCTCAGGTAAAACCGACGCCCCTTCTCCATTGTGTCAATGGGAGAATCCAGATTGGGACATACCAAAGCTGGCTGTCCTATGGGCAGGAATTGGTCTGGTCTGGAGTCCCCGCTTCAACATGTACTCTTTGGAGGACGCGCCTGCCGAAGGCCGGCTCCAGAGAGGCGAAGGTGTCCAGTCTATAGTGCCGTATGAATGGTGATAGTGATGACCATGTCCTTTGCCACGATTCAAAAGGCAGGCTTATGCGGTAGCATAGTTGTCACGGCGATTCAGAATCTCAGTCTCCAGGTGCAAGCGTGGCAACGGCCAGGTAGTTTGCCAGTGGGACCTGAACTTTGCCGCAGACCAAAAGGCAGGCTTACGCAGAAACGCTGCTGCCGCGGCGATCTAAAACATAGGAGTGTGATCGATCGATCAGGGAGTCCAGCCCCCTTCCACAGCTGCGGAATGCACCAGCAGGGCCTTGCCCGCTGTCCTGGCCGTCCTCAGCAGAGTCGGACAGCCTGCCTGTCAAATTCCCTTTTGTTCCAGTTATCTGTCAATCAAAAGAATCCAGGGATTGGAAGTCCTTTGAGAGGTTCAGAGCCTCTAAGGAAGACATCTGAACGAGCTGAGACTGAGTTGAAAACTGGGGACCGTTACCAGGGAGGCATGTCCTCAAAATTCAACTCAGTCTGAAGAGCACAAGACAAGAGACTACCCAATCTGGATTCTCCCATCGACACAGTGGAGAAGATAAAATTTTATATACACACATACACATATCTCTATATGTTGCTATGGCTCTTTTTCAATGAAAGAACTTTATATGCAACATTTGTCCCATGTTAAGTATGAAACAGGCCTGGACCATTTTTCTTGCACTGTAATAGAAATTAATATTAAAAAAGTTCTAACATATTATAAAAAAACATCCTTTTAGAACACCTGGTTCTTGCTGACTGTATTTTCTAACAAATAAGCATTCCAAATTCTAAAAGTTTTCATGATGCTGCAATTCTGTGTTTGTGCAGAAAATTTTCTACTCTTGGTGTTAGTTTTTTTGCTCTGATTACTGCTGAGATGCAATGTTTTACTTTCTAATATTGTGTAATGAAAATTGGTAGAAAAATGAATGTTTAAAATCTAGCTGATAACTATACAACCAGGGTTTTTTCCTGCTGTTCAAAGAAAGGATTTTGGACTAAAGGCAATGATCTTTACCGGTATTAAATTTGCCATCTTTTTTGCTTGTTATCCTTTGATGTTATTTAAATGTAATTAGAATTTTTATATTATGCATCAAAATTTTGATACTTCTTATACAAAATATAAAATTACTAAGAGTTGACAATCATTTTTATCATTTTTCTGACAATTTCTGTGTCGTACTTGCTATTCTATACTGGATCTATTAGACTATGATCTTTGAATTGTTTTAAGACTGGGTTCTGTTAAATTACTTCCACATATACCATACATCTGCTCTTCCTTTGGCAGATATTTTTCCATTAACAGATACTCATTACTAAATTCTGTACTTGAGTCTGGAATAAATTACTGAACACAGTGTAATTTTGGGATGTGTATATGTATTCTTACAAGCTTGCAATAAAACAATATCAATGTTTTGTGATTATATAGTGTTGAACTTCTGAAAAATTAGGATAGTTGGATATGATTTAATTAGTTTGGTCTCTGCTCTGAAAAATATCTGCAAAAAGAATAGTCTTCAACTAAATGAGTCCTTCAGTATAACACCAATCAAACCTATCATATGCAGCCCCTGCAACAAGGAGAAAGACTTCTGAATTTAATTGGAACTGGGATATCAGTGTCCAATTTAAGCAGCCAATATTGGTATGAAAGGATTACACTGGGAACTATTCAAAACTTACTTTAAAATAATGCGCAAAAAGAGGGGGGAAAAGTGAATACTTATAAAAACTAGATTTACATGTTTCTGTGTCTAGATAGTCAGGTAACGAGATACAATTTTGTCATTTGCAGTATTATTTGTGGTAGTTCCATTCTATACAATCACCTTAAACAGTAACAAATACTGAAACCTCAACTGGAGACATGCCTATCAGAAGACTCAATTTTTTCCCTGCTCTGCATAAGGATGATGCACCACAAGTATTGATTTGCAGTTGCAAATAAATTTGAGTAAGCAAATTCACAAATACAAAATTCACAATTAGCAGGAATCTGCTATACACATCCACATATGTATTACGTTGTAGAATTATTCACATTTAAATCTATTTATTCAAACAAAGAAATAAGTTATTCAGATTAGTCTTGCATGTTTTGTAACAGGAAAGTACCCTAGAATCATAAAAATGATATAAGCCATTTATTTTTATTATCCTTTAGTTTATTTCAAAATCAGTTATGTACTTAAGAACATAAATATCTACAAAAAATAGCAAGTCTTTCAGAACAACATATAGGAAATTAATTTGATCCAAAAGGATACCACTGTTAACAGCCATATTGCATGAAAGTAAATTGTGTATTGACAGTGACTCAATCCCTCAAGTTCTTCCAACGCATGTGGTTAAAATTGCTCACACAAAAGGTTATCAAAAGGATCAGAAATAATCTTATGAAGTAGAGACATTCTTTGAAACATTCAGTAATGAGGTAGTGGGGAGAAACAATATAATTCTAAGGAAATTCAGTAAGAGGGACAGAATGAAAAGGGAGCAGCTGAAAGACTAAACGGGAGAACTTCATAGCAGCATTTTATTGAGGATATTCCATCTGCTTATTCGGACAACACAACAAAGTTATCCTGCTATTACAGTATCCTTGTTTGGTGCTTTTAAAATCTTACATTCAAAAAAATAACATATGTAATGTGTGAATGATGAGATTTCACTCATGTTTAAATATAACAAAACTAATCAATGTAATGCACAATCTCTCCCCACCCCCTCCCCCACAAATCATTATGTAGAGAGTAGGAAATTTTACATTTGTTGTCTAGGAAGTTGTTCACTCCTCCAGCCCTTCCCTCGCTGTATGTTAGGGCTGAATTCCCAAGGGTGTGCAAGTGAAGACTGTATGCCAGATCTCCTCACCTGATCTACATTTTGTACATCTTAAAACTGTAGCAGGTGGGCAACTCACCTTACCTACCTTGCCTTAACCGATTTTAATATGATAATCAAAGAGACTAAACAGCAAAGTAGCGACAGCAAGAGTCCAAAACTCAACTATTGCCAACCCTGGTCAGTTAACACTTGTAAAGTGCTACCATCCAAGGGAAGCCCAAAATTATGAATAAATTTGGAGGCTAACACCAACACTAAACTAGAAGTATCCTCTTAACCCATCAATGCTGCTGTTCATGCAGCAACAGTCTCCAAATCCACTGAGGGCAGCAACCACCAGTTTCTCCGCATATAGCAGGTAAGAATACCAAGACTTGGTTCAACAAATCCATCTACAAATGGAAGAATCGCCAAGCTGCCCTCAGCAGCTCCCTCAAAGTTTCCAGAAGTAATGTTTGCTGGGAGTTGTAGTTGGAGCTTGCTGGGGCAGGCTAGAAGAGTGAAGGATGAGAAAAGTCTTCTTACCTCTCTTGGGTAATTAAAAAGTTCTATTTAAATGAAGCAGATTATAGCGCTGCCTTTTTTTTTTTTACTCTCCTTATCAAAGTTGCAGTATTTATAAAACACGTTGGAATTAACATTTAATATATCTTTTGTTCTGTACCCTTTCTGCAGCAAAAAAATGTTGAAAAGGTTTCCAAATTACAGTACTGTCCTGAATGAATTTCACATTGCAATCCTCTGTGAAGCTAGGCAAAAGTATATTCCGTTTAATTCAATGAGATTTTATTTTGTATGTATTGGACCATTCTGCTTGATTTTGCTAATGCTATCAAGAAAGCAGAATGTTATATAAAACATGACTTGATATGTTTATGTTTTATCAACAAGAATAAAATGCAAAACGGAAAACAAAAACAGACACCCAACAGTAACAAAATGTGTACAGAGAAAAAAACGACACAAACATCAAATAAGTCTAACATTGAATATACAAAAAAACCCCACCCTGGTTGGATGCTTAAAAAAAATTAAAAATCTGGATAAATTATCCTCCACTTACATAATGGGTCTGCAAATAATTCTAAACTTTCTCATCCTTATTTAGCAAGAAAAATATATAAAAATATTTCAGATGAGTCTTTAATAAACAAATTGACCGAGCATCTAACCATAATATATATAGAGTAAAAAAAAAACAACACTCAACAAATTAGCCTGAATATGATACTAGTCTTCAAGTCCCTCTGTTAATCATCTGTTATTGTTTTTAATTCGTAGCATGTCCACAAACAGCTTCCAGTCTCTTATAAAGCTGTCTAGTACATTGCTTCTAATCAAAACAGTTAATTTTGCCATCACTGCTAATTCAGTCAATTTTAAAATCCATTCTTCAACAGTCGGCATCTCTTTTCCTTTCCAGTGCTCAATGAATACAGTCATCACAACTGTCAACATATAAAAAAAAACCATCCCAAATTGTTTTTGACTGATCCATAATACCAAAAGAAAAGCGTCAGGTTTCATTAATTTTTGTATCAAATATTTTCTGCATTATGTTTATCTGGAAAGTTTTCACATATTGCAAGACCACCACATACAATAAAATATACCTGGATTTTGATTACATTTCTACCATTTGTTAGAAGTTCCTCTTATACATTTTCACTAATCTATCTGGAGTCCAATACCTATGATACATCATTTTATTTTCTTTCAAACTATAATTCAAAGTAACTTTTACTCCATTAGTCCATATATTATCTCATTTATATAGTGTTATGCTATCCCTATTTTTTTTGTCCATTTTACAATACAGTATTTGACATATTTGTCTTCCAGATTCATCTTGAGTAACATTTTATATACTTTTGGAACCAAAATATAAATTGATATCTAATTCAGATTTAATGCCTGTGAAAACAACTTTTTTTTTTTTATCATGGTTAAATCTATCAAAAATTCTACAATAATTAATCCAATCACAAACTTTTCACTTGCTCTTGTTTTCTTGTCTTTATCTTTGGTCCCTCTTTTTCAAATATCAATAACTCCCAATATGTCATCCATTTACATCACAATAACATCTCTGTTCTATATAGTGTTCTCAGCCAATCTTCTTTTATATTTCCACCATACACCCCAATAGATTGCCTAATAATATGATTCTTAAAATCAGGGTTAACTTTTATTTTGTCATGCCACAAATAAGCATGCCACCCAAATTTCAAATCAGAACCTTTGAGGTCTAACAATCTTGAGTTTTTTAAACATACCAAACAACATAGTATAATCTAAAATTTGGCAAACCAGATCTCTTCTCTCTCTTGAATATTATAAGAGCTTGTATTTAATTCTTGGGTTTTTTTATTTTGCCAATGAATTTAGATATATCTTTCTGCCAAGAAGAATCTTTAATATCAGTATGATCTGGAATAAAAATAGCCTTCCAGGTAGTACATCAATTACTGAAATTCCTCCCATCAATGACAATTCTATTTTTTGTCATCTGTTTTAAATACAACTTTATCTCCTTCCATATTTTAACTTAGTTGTTTTTATATAACTTAGAATTTTCATGTGTAAGAATCACCCCCAAATACTTTACCTTTTTCACAACTTTAAAGTCAGTTTTACATTCCAATTTCTTCCAATACTAGTGTTAGTGTTATTAACTTAACAACTGCAGTGATTCATTTACCAACTTTGCAAGAAGGATTGTAATATGGGGCAAAACTCACTTATCAACTGTCTAGCTTTAGCAACAGAAATTTTGGGCTCAACTGTGCTTTTAAGTCGAGAACTCCCTGTATATTTGTAGTTGTACTATACATCTACTGCTGAACCTCACTTGATAAAAAATGAAGTCAAATTGCAAGAATTTTTCTTATTAAATCCATGCTGATTTCAGCAAACCACCATCTAATTTTTTTCACAGCTTAAAGATTCAACCAGTTTACTGGTTATAAAGATTTAAATTAATTCAAAGGAAAGTCTTTATTTTTGTTAATATCAAGCTTCAATCCTGTCCCTTCATTCTTCTGCCTGCATTTTAGAATGTAGTTATTGTTCTACTAAGATATATACTAAGATTATTAGTAGAGCCGCAGTGGTGCAGTCGTTAAAATGCAGTATTGCAGGCTACTTCTGCTGGCTGCAGTTCAGTTCTCAATGGCTCAAGATTGACTCAGCCTTCCATCCTTCCAAGGTGGGTAAAATGAGGACTCAGATTGTTGGGGACATTATGCTGACTCTGTAAATCGCTTAGAGAGGGCTGTAAAAGCACTGTGAAGCAGTATATAAGTCTTATTGCTATTAGAACTGAAAGAGTTTTTTAATTAAACACTCAGCAGGTTTCACAGATTAATATTAAGGCAAAAGCCCTCCCAATTATGCAACTACAATTGGCTATTGTTCACCTGGACAGCACGATCTTAAAGATCGCAATTCTCAGTAAGGAGTGATCAGAGGGTTGAGTCTTTTACCATTTTTTCCCTTCAGCTTTGTTTTTTTAAGAATGCCTTGGTTTTAATTGCACTTTTGAAATTTTTCTAATTTTTGTATATTTTAATAGACTAGTTGTTGTTGATCTATCTTGCAACTCTTGCTGGATTTTACATTTTTTCTTTGTTCTCTCATTGTTTACCATTGAACTATAAAATACATTTACAATAAGAAAATTGCTGATGAGAATTCATTCTCCAGTAATGAAAATCACCCAATTGGACTTACACTTATATTGGATTATGTAATATGGGAAAATTCCTTTTCTTTTGATTACTTTTCAGCTTGAGTAAAATTTTAACTTCTCTCTATGGATAATATATCTGTTTCTCTTGTTCTTGGAAGGAACAGTATATTTTTCAAAATGTCTGAGATAAAGCTTTCTGGGAAATCTTTGAAAAAATAATGCTTTGTAGCTTACAGGCTTTTTTTGAAGATACAAATTAAAAAATTGATGGGTTAACAATGGTTTTGAATCAAACCCAGGATGATACTCAAAAGCAGAAAATAACAGTGGGACTTAATTTGCGGTTTGATGAATTGGAATCTGATTTGTTTCTGCCATACAGGAAGAAGAAAATACCTGGTCTGAACATTACAGATTTGGCAGAAAAGATTGATAAGTATAAGAAATTCAGAGAGAAAAGAACTGATGAGTGATGGATTGGATTTTTTAGGCAAGATCAATCCTGTTTTCAGAGAGTGCTTTTGAACAATGGATGCTGCAGAGACACCTACAACAAAGACTAGGGTCTAGGAAATAGGATGCAACCGTTGGGGAAGCTCCCTACTAAAATTATAAGGAGTGTTTTCATTATTAAAAATCAAATGAGAATATTTGATCCTGGACAAATTAGAGATAACAATTGGGGTGCTTTGTAATAGATAAAAAATCTGTAGGCTTTCTACAAGCTAATTATACCAACAGATCATTAACAAAGGGCTTTGAAGTTTAACTTTGTTGATTAAACTGTTAAGTATTATAAGAACTAGATGTACTGTATAATATAGGTCAATTGATTGCAAATAGATGTAGACGTTTATAAATCTTAGACCTTAGTACAAGGGGAGAAGGCTATTGTTGCAATGTTTAATTTTGTTTTGTTCTTATAAAATTGGCATTTTTCCCCTTGGAGTTTTGTCTTTTAATTTTCTGTATTAAAAAAACAAAAAAACAAAAACAAAGGAAAAGTAGACTAGTAGAATAGATTGAACTGTACAGATGATATAACCAACGCTCAGAAAGAGTTGCATTTAAGGTAGTGACAGATAAATTAACATGGACTTAAAATACGTTCAACAAAGAAGTATCAATTATGTCATTGATTTCAGTGGAGATAACGCTAACCATTCCCTAACTACTTCATGAAATACAGCACGTAAACTTCACCAAATTGTCTTATTCCATACTAATTTTATTTTTAAACTACATAAACAAGCCATAGGCATAGCTTTGCGTGATGTGAATCTTAAAATGTTTTTTTTAAATACACTGAGATAACGAAGTGAAGATTCGAAACAAAATCCAGTAGTATTTAACAGAAACCCGAGTTGATACCCAGTCCATTTACATTATAGCGTATACTTATATGAAAGGACTCATTGAAAAAAACAATTTTTATACGGCCGATTACTACTAACACACACACAAATCAGTCTCGCTGGTGGCTCAACACCTACCCTTCGAATTTAGAAAAAGGTGATCACTAAAACTACTAATCCCATCATGCTCTCGGGTTGCGTCGCATTTCTTTCTACTTTTTCCTTCCCCCGCACCAAGATACTCTCTGGTGACTTGTGCGCACGCGTCTTGTAAGCCGCGTCCGGGGCAGGCGGGCAGTCTCACCCTAATGTAAGATGGTGGCCGGTCTGGCAGCGGAGCGCGCAGAGCCTAGAGATTACCCGTCTCTCAAATAAAGGTCGTCGGTGGAGACACTCAGCTCTATCCCCGCGATCATCAAAAAGAACCAGGGCCCGAGAGAGTATTGCCGCCCCCGCCACCAGACAGCCCGGTTGCTGTGGAACAGGGACGACGAGGTGGGTAAATGAGCGAGCAGTAGGGGCTGGGGGAGCCCGAGTTGTGAGAGCGTGGAGGCGGCTTCTCCGGGATCCTGAAGGCCTCAACTTTTCTCAGTCCTCTGTCTGCCTCGGCTCCTGGGTCTCTCTAGGGCGGAGAGGTAGGAGGAAGGCAAAGGAAGCCTATGCCAGCGGCGAGGGCCGACAGTCTTTCCCCGGCAGCGGTAGGGGGCTTCTGGGGCTTCATTGCTTGAGCCGGAGATCTGGTCGGAGAGAGGATCCGACTAACCCTGGGAACCCAGGCTCCGGCTTTTTGGGGAGGTGGGCAGGAATAAATGGAGACGGAGAGACCTGTGCAGTACTTTCGTGCTTTGCATCTTCTCTTTGCATCTACTCCAGCTTTAGTAGGTGAGAGGTGGCTGGACCTGCTGCGGTAAGCGATTGGTGCTTTGGTGGGTTTCAGATGAGGTGGGGTGCAAAAAACCCGAAACAAAATAAAAACAACCAAAATCTACTTTCCCATATGTTGAAAAGAAATGGGAAGAATTCCAGTCTCCACAGTAGCAGCACGTGTGTTTGGTTGTGGGTGTCAGTTAACACCTGTATGGGTGTTTCCTCTTTTACACTATTTTTATATACCATTTGAGTTTCCCTGGATATTTTCTTAATAGGTTTTCTGTTCCTTTTATTATATGTCTCTTGGTATTCTTGAGTTAAGCAATTAGAGAAGAGATTTCACACTTCAGGGTTTTGGATTACCTTGTCTCTTTTTAAAGGGATGCTGTGGACCATCCATCTATTTTGCGCTCTAATGTTTCCATATAACAAATCTCTCAGAGTTACTCCTGATAATGTAAGGGTAAACTAAGCAAGTTTGTCAGTAAAGAAGTCAGTTATAATGGTATATATTTTATCTATGATGCATATTGTAATAAAAGGTGGAATTTTCATATTTAAAAGCTAGCTTAGTAATGTCACACCTATTTCAGTTTGATGGTCTTGAAGATTTATTATTTCAAGTAAATAGGCTTTTGAAAATTGTTATCCATATTCTGTAATGCCGTCTATTTGTTTTAAAAAATATGATTAGTGCAAAGTATAATAACAAAAAGTATTTCCTTTTATAATAACCCTGGAATTATAAATATGTATGTAGAAGATATAAGCTATTTAGTATGTCCTATGGATTACTACTTGTTTTCACAGAGAAAGTCCAATTTTTAATTCCAGGAAAACTTATATTTAAGTATCCTAAGTCACAGTATTATAAGTTTTGAACTAAACCTCATGAAAATTAGCAAAGCTTCTTAGTAGATATGTAAAAATACACTGTCAGAAACTGACTTGATAATCAAATCATGTATTGATTTAATATTAAAAAGTTTGTATCTAATCCCCAAACTCAAATAACCAAAGCAATTCAGAGCCTTTATAATTTGCTAAAAAATAAAATGTCACAGATTTCTTAATTGTATTTATATGTCACAGAACCATCTTTAAAGTGCCCAGTGATTTAATTAAAAACAAAAACAAAACTAATGCATCTTTTAACTATGTGTGTGTGTAATTTTATATATATATTTTTACTTGAAAAAATGAAGTATTAAAATTATTTTAGTGATTTCCAGATTTTTCTCCTGATCATATAATTGCTATGAGTCATTTTTATTCCTCTAAAATATGCTGTTTGGGACTGAAACAATTATTTACTCAGCAAAGTAAGATATGCACACATATCAGCTCAAGTATTATTTCAATTTTTCATTTAAAAGTGTTTTCTAGTAGAAAAAAGTGAGGTAATCTTGTGCAGATGTTTTTGTGAATTTTTAAAATATAAATGACAGAAGAAAAAGTGCCTGCACCTTAAACTGGTACAGATTATAGAGATATCTGATTGGTTGGAGAACTGCATAATCAACTTGGATTTGAAGAAGAGTTAGAATATGCCATAAGGTTTTACTCTCTGATAGAATTACTTGAAGTTGAAAGGCAAGTAAAATTTCTCTATCACATTAGTTATTTTAATTACCGGTATAGAAGAATGCTATAAAGCATTCCAATATAAAGTTCATGCTTAAATTAATTGTTTATTAGTGCACTAGAAGATTTAGAAGCATTTAATATTGAATATTCATAATTTTAGAATATGGTTTCTGATTTTTTTATAATTTATAAATCTTAGGATTGAATTCTGTCTTTTGTAGGTGCTGATATTAATTTAGAATAGAATAAATAGGTATACAATCATCTTAACCAGAACTCAGGGAAAAAAATCTATGATTGTTACTATACAATTACTTTTCCTAAAATCTTTCATATATATAGATTCTTGCTGCTAACTACTTGTGTTGCTGCTAACCTGTGATTTTCCTAAAATCTTTAATATGTATAGATTTATGTGTAACTTTAGACATTTCTTTTTTTACTTATGAAAATTCTACTAGAATTTAAGATTTGCTTCATATCATTTATAGTATAACCGAAAAACAGAATTGGTAGGTGCCGTGAGGTCTTTCAGTTTAACCCCCTGATCAAATAGGAGACCCTATAGTATTTCAAACAAATGGTTGTCCAGTCTCTTCTTAAAATGCTTTAGTGATGGAGCACCCACAATTTCTGAAGACAAGCCATTCCACTGGTAAATTGTTTACACTTTCAGGAAATTTCTCCTTATTCCTGGGTTGCTTCTCTCCTTGATTAGTTTCTATTCACTGTTTCTTGTCTTTCCTTCTGGTGCTTTGGAAAATAGGTTGAGCTCCTTTGTAGCAGTTCCTCAAATATTGGAACACTACTATCATGTCACCCTAGTCCTTCTTTTCACTAGAAGAGACTAGACAAATCCAATTCCTGAAACTGTCGTTCTTATATTTTACCCTCCAGCACCCTAATCATCTGTGTTTTTTGGCTGCTGTTGCATATTGTTGGATCATATTTAAATGATTGTCCACTAGGATTCCAAGATCCTCACAGTTACTGCTATTGAGTCAGGTTTCACCTAATCTGTACCTGTACATTTGATTTTCCTTGCCTAAATGTAGAACTTATTTTTCTTACTGAATTTCATTTTGTTAGATATGGCCTTGTTATTCAGATCTGTCAAGATCCTTCTGTATCTTGAGCCTATCTTCTGGAGTATTGACTGTTCCTTCCAGCTTGGTGTCATCTCATTTTGATAAGTTTCTCTTCTATCCCATTGTCTAAACCATTTATGAAGATATTGAAGAGTATTAGGCCTAAGACAGAGTCTTGAAGTACCCCTCTGCACTGGTGGTCCTCAATTTATGATTACAATTGAGTCTAAAACTTGTGTTGCTAAACAAGGAAGTTGTTAAGTAAATTTTGCCCCATTTTGCGATCTTTCTTGCCACAGTTATGTGAATCACTGAGGTTGTTAAGTTAATAACATGGTTAAGTGAATCTGTCTTTCTCATTGATTTTGGAGATCACACCCTGTGACATTGCAGCCATCCTAAATGTGAACGAGTTGCTAAATACCTGGATTTTGATCACATTACTATAGGGATGATGCAACAGTCCTAAGTGTGAAAAACGGTCATAAGTCACTTTGTTCAATGCTGTTATAACTTTGAACAGTCACTAAATGAACTGGTGTAGGTCGAGGATTACATGTACTTCTCTCCATGTAGATGCGGTTTCATTAAAAAGACTACATGTTGAGTGTGGTTGGTCAGCCAGTTACGGATCCATCTAGTGTTGATGCTGTCTAACCCACATTTTTCTATCTTTCAAGTGGTAGATTATGGTCTACTGTATCAAATGCCTTACTGAAGTCCAAGCAAATTATATCTACAGCATTTCACAATTTTGTTTATATTGTCAAAGAACACAACAAAATTTGTCTGGCATGATCTGTTTTTGACAAATCTGTGTTAGTTTCTGGTTATGATTTTGCTTGCCTCGAGGTAGTCATAGAAGAATACCTTTTCCAGAATCTTCTTAGATATTGATATCAGGCTGATGAGGCTGTAATTTCCTGAATCCATTCCCCCCCACCTTTTTTTGTGAAGATGGGAACCACATAAACTCTTTTCCAGTCATCTGATAGTTCCCCAGCGCTCCAGGGTCTTTGAAAGATCTGGTTCAGTGGTTCTTCTGTCAATTCCTTCAGAATCTTGGGGAATCTTGGGTGTTAGTGGTCCTGGTGATTTGAACTTGTCTAGATTGGATAGGTGTTCACTTACTATTTTCTTGCTTACTTTCACTTGCATTCCTATTCTCCATTTTATGGTATATTTTTTTAATCAGTTGGATTGTTTTTTTCTTTTTGTGTAAAGACAGATGCAAAAAATGAGTTAAGCAATTCTGCTTTCTCCTTGCTGCTTGTTACCACCGTGCCATTTTCTCCCATCAATGGGCCAATGGTTCCCTTGGTTTTTTTCTTAATTTTTATGTTTTGTTTTTACAAAAAACCTTTTTTGTTATTTTTGACATATGTCTCAAACCTTAGTTCATTTTGAGCCTTAACTTTCCTGACTTCATCTTTGCAGGTTCTGGCTATTTGCTGATATTCTGCCTTAGTTATGTGTCCCTCTTTCTACTTTATATATTGTCCTTTTTATCTTTCAGTTTATCAGGGAGTTCTTTGTGCAGATCTCTTATTTATTCTTCTTCATTGGAATTGTGCTAGACTGGGTTTTTATTATCTCATTTTTCAAAATTTCCCAAGCTTCTTGGGTTATTTTCCCTTTGAAGATTTTCATCCATGGAATCCTTCCCAAGTTTTATCGTAAGTCTATTGAAATCAGTTATTTTAAAGTCCAATATTTTTTTATATTCCTTGTGCTTGCATAATTCTGAATTACAATATTGCATGGTCACTCCCCCCCCCCCCCATCTCTCTTAGTGAGAGTTAAGGTGAGTATGGCTGACTCTCCAATTCCTTTCTCTACATTTTGGGGGACAAGTTATCTGCTATATTTTCCAGGAATCTGTTTGATTTTCTATTATGAGTTCCTCAGAATGTAATTACTCCTTTACTTTGAAAGGAATAGTAGAAGTTT